ACTCAAACCCTGATCTAATTCAGAGGATCTGAAAACATATTGATGTATTTTTTTATATTTAGTCACATCTTCTCCATCCAGGCATAATGTTCGGCCAACAGTTTCATATTCCCGTGGATTTATTGAATAATCTGAGCTGACGGTTCCTTAACGAGATGCCGGCTGTTTAGACGAGTTTTAAAGGAACAGAGTTTGACACTAAAACATGTTTCATGTCCCGAGTAGATTTCCTCTGGAAAACAAATATCTATAAAATATCTATATTCTGTAATATGTTTTAATCTTAATCTGCCAAGTAAGATTATCATTTCTGAACCTTCAGATAGATTCATTTATATTAGTAAACTCATGGATCATAATAGTAAACTAACTGGACTGAGGTCTCCCATTTTTATACAATAATAAATTGAATCCTCTTAATATTTTAAAACTTTCCTTTAGTTTGTTTTTATTAAAACAAATTAAAGTTCCTTTTCTGTGATTTTCAGCTTTATTTACGCAGCGGTCTGATGAACCTTCAAACAGTCACTATGAAAGAGTTCATGTAAAAAAAAAGAGTTTATTCCACATAAAAGAACAAAAGTAAATTACAAACAACAAAGGACCAGTTTTTATTTGGGTTTTAATCTAAATCTAGTTGCAGTGAAAGGATGGAAAACAAACGTTTCCTCTAAAAGGAGCCAATCAGAGGCTGTTTAACGTCGCCTCCTGAAGCTCTGATCAATCATGTTCTGCAGAGCGCCACAGTTTTTCTGACGTCAGCTTTAACCAGCGGCTCCTCCTCTAAGTCTGATTGTGATGGCCGTCTGTGGCCCCCATGGCGCCTGTGGCCCCCACGGTGCCTGCGTCTGTTGACTCGTCGTCTGTGGGGTCCACAGTGACTTTTTTTGCTTCACATCTCTGATCAAAACAGTTTGAGTCCAGATTTCAGTCTGCTGACGTCACTCTGGGTCCAGAGGAGACCTTCTGCGGTTCTAGTGAGCCCAGAGGCCCCCGGGGCCGCCTGCTTCCTGCCGCCCTCCAGCTCCATGGGCTGCTCAGAGACCGCCATCGCTGAATAGGTTTCCGCCATGAGGCAGGATGGATCCTCCTGCTGCCCAGGAACCTTCCCCAGAGGAAAGTTCTTCCACTGCACCTTGTCAAAGCACACCTGCCAGGGGGAACCCCTGAGCAGCTTGGCCTTCTCAGCCAGGGCCTCGGCCCCTCTCGGGTCGCCGGGGGCCTCGCTCCTCTCACTGCTGCTCCTTAGAGGGCCGCGCTGCTGCAGACTCTCCAGGGTGTAAACTGGCTGCTGCTGCTGCTCCTTGGGGGGGCGGAGCTCCGTGCTGGACGTCTGGGTGTAGATGGAGCAGAGCTGGAGCAGCTTCTGCTGGGTTTCCTGAGGCAGCGGATGCTCCATGTCATCCAGGATGACCTGCAGCAGGTGAGGCGTGTAGACGCAGGGCGCCTCCAGACACGCAGAGAGCAGCTGCTGCCACCGCAGCTGGATGCGGTTCACGTAGATCCGCTCCTTCATCCGGGCCTTCTTCTGCGTCTTCTTTTCAAAGCGGAACTGGAACTTGTTGCTGTTGCAGAGGATGACCTCTGAGGTCCAGGCGCAGACGAAGAACAGCCGCCGCTCATTCTGGCCGCCGCTCAGCAGCTTCAGCTCCAGGAGGAGCTTCTCCAGGAGCAGGTGGATGAAGGAGGGGGAGTGCAGCATCCTCAGCAGGGGGAGCCAGAACCGGAGGAAGACGGGGGGGATCCTGGGCTCCGAGGAGCCGGAGCTCTCGGGCGGCTCGCAGCCTAAGGTTTCCAGCTGCTGGGCCGTGGGAACCAGGAAGCCGTCCTCCAGCAGCACCTCCACCAGCAGCTGGCTGGACTCCAGCGACGCCTGCTTGATCTCCTCCAGTAACCAGCTGAGGTCAGCGAATGGCGGCGGCTCCTCCTGGGCTCCGTCCAGAGTCTTGAAGCGCTCCTCCTCATAGGACACCAGCAGGTCCCGGGCAGCCTTGTACACCTCCATCTCCTTCTGCCTGCTCATCAGCTCCTCCTGCCGCCTCCTCTCAGCATCCTCCTCCTCCTCCCCATCAGACTGGGCCTCCCAGTCCTCCTCAGCCCCCCCTCCCAGCTGCCTGGACCAGTACTCCTGCTGGAGCCAGTCCAGCGCCACCCTGCAGCCCTTCCTGCACCACCTGAGCGTGGGCAGCTTCCTGTGGGTGAACGCGTGCCTCAGGTCCACCACCCACTCAGGGATGTTCAGCCTCCCGGCCAGCCGCCTCAGAGGCTGGGCCTTCATGCCCTGCTTCCGCTCGGTGATCAGGTTAACGAACCGGACCAGGGCCGTCCCGTACAGGAGGACCAGCTCATCCCCGCCCAGCTGACCGGACCGCTCCAGAACCTGACACCGGACCAGTTCGGCCGTGCAGTCCACGGCCACGGGCGTGCTGTGGGCGTAGCGGGCCTTCCACGCAGAGACCCTGTGCAGCGCGAACCTCTGCAGGGCGGGATCCTTGGAGTAGAGGTAGTCCAGCACCTGGTCCCACTCCGCCTTGGTGATCCACGCCACAACATGGCGCCTTTTCTCCGAGCTGCTCTTCTTCATCTCAGCGGCGGAGGAGCTTCCCTTCCCACGGATCCCGGACACGCGTGAAGATAAACCGCGAGGATTTCAGCCCCGCGGCATCAAACACATGAATATTGCTCGGTCAGGCTGGTTTTCTTACGGAAGTGACGTCATTAAGCTATTATCTCTGCGTTCCACAGCGTGAACCGCTCCTGCGCTGCTGCCCCCTGGTGGCCGGAGCGGAACCCCTGTTTCTGTTGCCATGGTAACGTGGTCCCAGAGCCAGCAGCAGGTTTTAATCAGGAAACTAGGAGCTGATTTCAGTCAAAAATCAAATAAATTAAATATTTAAGAATTAAATGAATTAAATTTTTATGGTGCTTTAAACAGATTACTTTGACTTCTAATGAACCAAAATGTTTTCAAACTAAATACATGCTACGTACTAATATACTTTACTATTTTCTTTTTACAAAAATACTTTTAAGAGGTTTACTTGTTTTACAGCGCCCCCCCCCATCAAGTAGATATCATATTATAATGAAATAATAATACTTTAAACAATTTAACTGTTGTCTGTTCTGCTGTCCAAGCCTAAAGCAGCATAATTACATGAAGTTTGGTTTTTATACATTTTATAAAATATTCACTACAATCAATACAAAATATACTTACTTGTTTGCATGCTGTTTAGTAAGATTAAAAAATATATATTTCCACATAAATATGATTTGGGGTTTAGTTAAAATGAAGTAGGCGAATAATCGTGAAGCTAAATAATTCAGTGTTTGAATGAAAAACTGATGTTTTCATAAAGAGAAAAGAAGCTGAAAGCTGCACTGGTTGATGATTTAAACAGCTGAAAATATCTGGAGCTAATGTGAGTGAAAACAAAGAAGGATTATTGTTTAAAACAAAAAGACTTTAGACTCCGGTTCACCCTCCAGTCCAGCTGGCGGCGGTAATGAGTCAATATGGCTGCTTCATTTTAAAGTAAAACCCAGAGAAGAAGAAAGGCGGGAATTGAAATGGGCGTTGCACTGGGAATGGAAGTTTTCTGTGGAAAAACAAAGTAATGATATTTATTCTGAAAAAAAACAAGGACTTAAAAATTAAAATTATATAACCAAGAATTAGAGCAAGTAAAATGTATAACATTTTTAGGACTATGGTTTGATGAGAAACTAAAATAGAATATAGGCCTACATAGTACAGTGTTTTTGGGTCCGTCTTGCATAGTTCCATTCTTGGGATAACATTTTGCAGCAGGGAACCGCTGTCCTCCACAAAGTCCAGATCCATGAAAACGTCCAGGTACGGGTCATTCTGGTCAGGCAGGTGACGTGCAGATGTAGGAGTCGTCTTTCCCCAGCTGTCATCAATTCTATCAGACGTTCAGAAAGCGCAGCGTCAGTCTGGTGGACAGGACCCCAAGCAACGAGCCGACCTCTCTGACACCTGAAAAGTCTGGCCCAGCAACCAGCACCGGATGCCGCAGGGTCACCGCTCCTGACCTGGACAACGCCTCAGAAAAAGAAAGACCGAAATGGAAGCAAGCATAATTAAGAACGGCTGGCAATGACTGGACTGTGAATGAATGGGCAAAAATATATGAGATATTCTCTAAAAATAAGCCAGTCAGTGCTGTACCACCATGATTGTTTCCAGAAACAAAAGTTGACTTGAAAATACAATAATATATTAGACAATTGTATTATAGTTTTTAAAAATTTACACAGATGGTTCAAAAAAAATTCAAAGGGAAATGTGGGAATAGAGATATTCATTCCAGAGTTTAATATATGCAAAAGATTAACAGACCTTTTATCTATATACACATCAGAAAGTTTCCAGTGGGTGGAGGAGGTTAGACCGGACAGGGCGGTGATTTGCACAGATTTTATTATTATTTTTTTTTATTTACACAAAAAAAACATAAAAACAGAATAATGTTTCACAAAAAAAGAAAATGTGATGGACAACTGCCGAAAAACCCTCAAGGGGCTTAATGAGTGGCAGTCTCCATAAAGCAAATATATTTCACCATTTCAGACATCTATATCATATTGTGTAAAAAAAAATAAAATAAAACATTTCTTGAAACAATTTAGAATATAATTTAGACCACAAATCCAGATTCTAAAGCTGCAATAGAAAGTATTCATTCAGGAGGAAATTTCATACTTACTCTAAGAAGTATGAAAGAAAAAGGAGGGAATTGGTTCAAAATCTTAAAAAAGAGAGAATTTAATATAAATCCTTTGAAAGAACTAAATAACGTGTTATATAATTGTTTTTCATAATGTTAGATTAATAAATGTGATTGAGAGGATCTGAATCTTATTTTGGTTTTGTTTTGCTCTGTAGTAGCCGTTCAGATCCACACTCCATACCAGTTGGTGGCGGTAATGCACCATTTCGTTGCGAGCCAACCCATAAAGAATCTAACGACGAAGAAGAAGAAAAATGGCGGAAATGGCGGGTGGTTTAACAGAGCAGCGCTTTGCTCAGCGGGTTTATGATTCATTACAGGTAAAATAAAGTTTTATTAAACTATTTGTTGGTCAGCATCGTTTGGATGAGATGTTGATGTGAGATTTAGCAAAGTAAAAGAGCTGATATCCGTTTATGAATCAGTTTAAACTACATGTTTGGATTAATGTTAAAAATAAAAGATATTTGTTGAAAGTGTAAAAAATAATGTTTAAACACTGGAAATATTAACAGCTGTGTTTATTGTAGTTCTGAGCTGTGAAATCTAGATCAATATAGATATAAATATATAGAGCTATAAAAGTCTGTTCCCTTCACTGGACAACAAACACAGAACCTGTTAAATGAACAGTTAGTGAAAGAAAACATTTAAATCCGCAGAAAAGACATAAAGAAGATTTAGATAAACTGGGATGTTTAGGCAGTGATGGATGTGCTGCTTTAAGTGAATTAATTGGATCTTTTAAAGGGGAACACCATTTTTTTTTTAATTGGGCCCTTGATTTTACGTTATTCCATCATGTTCTACTCACCCATATGAGTTTAATGTCATTTGGAGCCGTTCTGAAGTAGGGCTGGACGATATAGAAAAAAGCTTATCGATAAAAGAAAATGCATATTGATCGATATCGATAATTATTGAAAAGATTTGAAACCATAATTTATGTGCAGCTCTGCCTGGACTATTTATAATATTGCTAAATGATTTAATTTTAATAAAGAACACAAACACAGACTTCCAATTAAATCTTTATTTAACCAACATTTTTAACCATAACAGAATTGTTTTAAGGAAAAATAACTTAAGAGACCTGAGTTATGTTATTAAATACTGACAAAGAATAAACTAAAGTGACCAGAAAAGTGACCAAAATAAATATAACAAATAAATAAATAGAATACCCTATTTGGGTGGGAATAGTACACCACCAGCTTGTGGTAATTAAAAGATTGTAGGACTAGGCTAACATGTAAACAAACTCCACTCAACAAGAACAAAACCCCCCCAAAAAATCAACTCACCCTTTAACCTAGCATTTCTTTATTGAACTTTTATCGACCCTGTTTTTTTCTATTGCGCCACACGTCTATCGATCAATATATATCATTATTGAATTATCGACCAGCCCTATTCTGAAGATATTCCGTTAGGTTATATCCAGTAACGTCTTCCTATGGGCAACGACTTGAAGGCACAAACTAAACTGTTCATCATTTATTCTTTATGGTACGCCAGCATTCAGAACATGGAGGAGAATCACTGTCCCCCACACATCCACCTTTATATTTTTTACATTTATATTTTTTTAAAACAAAGCGGAGCGTGTATGACGAAGATGTCTAGTGCTGCTTCCACAGATGATCTCGCTCTCCAAATGGAATTGAACGATTCAGATTAGCTAGAATGAATAGAAGGGGTAGAGCGTAGCCGCCTGTAGCCCCGGCTGCCTGTCAGGGGCGGATTTAGGAAATGTGGGGCCCTTTGGGTGGAAAAACTCGTCAGTATCTGACAGACAGTAGAGTCAAGCTAATTTCCTCCTTTTCCAAATATTTTTCTTTCAAACTCTAAATGTTTGCTCAAACATCATATTCAACCCTAGTACAAAATATACCCTAAAAAGGCAGATATTTAGGAACCAGGGGCAGTTTTAGGAAATGTGGGGCCCTAGGCAAAGACAGGCAGGGGGCCCTCTGAATTGAGAAGACAACACCTCAAACAGCCCCATTCTCCAGATAGAGAAATGTTAATAGAATAGACATCCATTATCTGTTCTAGGTTGTGTCCCTCTCTTCTTGTCCCTTTTCTTCTTGTTTTCCTCTCTATGTTTTGTACTCAGCTGACTTTTCATGCTGTCTCTAAAGGAATGAAAGATTTTTTCCAAGCACTAAGCTCACTTAGCTGATTGCTCCTTCCTGTGTTTCCAAAAAGGCCAAAGTAAATAACCCAGTCCTTCTTTTCACTGTAGACAAGCCATGATCTGCTTATCTGTTCTCCATTTTTCATTTGGATGAAATAATAGCTGCATGAATCATGACAGCACACAAGATAGAGGAGAGCAGGAGGCGGGGTTACCAATCTACTCGCTCTGGAGAGCAGAGTTCGCTGCTTTTAGATGTTGTCTCCAAAGTCTCCAGTAGCAGAAAAAAGTCTCTAGATTTGGCGCTAGGAGCTTTTTAGAAATCAAAGTGCTAGAGGGGTCTGAAAAGTGACTAAATATAGCGACTAAAGCGCTAAGTTGGCAACACTGCTCTTTGCATGGTTTGTTCTCAAATGGTTTGCTGCTGTCTGTTTGGACCTTTCTGAACATGTGCAGCAAATGGACTGATCCAATATGGTGGACACTGAAGGGGGGGGGGCTGAGACACACTTAATATTATCAGCGTTCTGATGGCATTTTAGCTAAAGGATTTTTATCAAAAAACATAATTAATGTGCACAAATAAGGAATAGTTGTATTAATCATACATGTAAACAGAGTTTTATGGGGCCCCCAGGAACTTGGGGCCCTAAGCAGCTGCCTAGTATTGCCTAATGGTAAATCCCCCCCTGCTGCCTGTCACAACTTTATTCGGGCGCGGGGAAGACGTCATACACGCTCCGCTTTGTTTTAAGTGAGTAGAACATGATGTAATAATGTAAAATCAAGGGGCCGATGTAAAAAAAAAAAAAAAAAAAAAAAAACGGCGTTTCCCTTTGATGTTTTTTCATTATAGTTCAGGTTGATTAAAATATTTAACTTTCATTTGGATAAAAAATACTTTTAATAGTTTCAGCCCTAAATCATCACATAAAATAAGAAAGTTTGTAAATCCTGCGTAATAAAAACCAGGACGGATAAATCCCTATTATTTCAGTGCAATCGTTCCCACGTCGCTGCTAAGGGGAATTAAAGCGGCCATCTTTGTTTTTCAGGCTCTGTGGTAAAGGCGGCCATCTTTGTTTTTCAGGCTGTGTCGTAAAAGCGGCCATCTTTGTTTTTCAGGCTGTGTCGTGTCCGTTGGTGGAAGATCTGTACCTGCAAGAGGAGGAGAGCAAGCTGGAGTTGCTGTGCAGCCCGTCCATCCTGCGCACCGACATCCTGGCATGGATCTGCTGCAGGTGCGTTCCTCCTCCCTCAGCTCCAGCACCACTCGTTGCTGCTTTAAATAAAACATGGAATTCCTCTGCCTTATTATAAACCGTCACTTTTCAGAGTCAGCCCAAAGTTTGCAGCGACCAAAGCATCGTCAGCGGAGTCAAAAGATCCCCACAGTTTAGAGAAAAGTAAGTTTGTCCATCAGAGGAAATGGATTCTGAGCTTTCAGGCTTTTTATCGGTGCTGCTTTTTGTTTTTGCTTTGCTGCGAGCAGGAATGGCTGCGATGGGCCAGGAGCTGCTGCTGTGCAGAGCAGACGAGCTGGATCTGATCAGGGTGAGGTTCTAGCGCTCAGCCTGCTCTGACTTCATGCTGAGGGTCTCATCTGAACGGCTGCGTTTCTTCCAGGGTCAGACCAGCCCTCAGCGACAGCTTCACTTCCTGGAGCAGCTGCTGTCTTTTATTCCCGGTCGGAAGACGTCTGCGGCTCCCGGCGGCGACGTGGAGCCGCTTCTCAGTGAGCTCTTTTCTGCTGAGAACGCCCTGCGCCTCAGACAGATGCTGCAGCCATCGTTGGACCCCTGGCCGGCGCACATCGAGTATGTTTGCCCTCCTCATCAGCTGATATGGATTTAAAGACCAAAATAAAAGGAAGACCTCAGAGCTGCTGCTGTTTGCTTTAAGCAAAGCGGCACAGATGGCTTTAAAATGGCAGTTTAAATATGCTTCCACAGAATACTGAATCACCAGGCGGCTCATTGTTTTACTAAATCTGCTTCATTCTGAACCAGAACCTTTCTCTATCACTGCCCTCATTGCTGCACAGCTCCTCATTCAAAAACTCAACCTGGTTCTATTAGTTGGTGTAAAGGCAATGTTTATCCTACCGTTTGTTAAACCAGGGGGCTTCATGTTAAATGAGGCTGTCTAAAATTTTCTCCTCTTGCTTCTGGTTCCTTGTATTGCAGAACTTTGCAGGAAGTTCCTGAATCGCCAAGAGGAGAGCTTCCAGACGTCTCTGAGCTGCTGCAGTCCACTCAGGCAGAACTGGAGCTGCTGCAGTCTAAGGTGGGTCCTTCCTGCACAGTCAGTCCGCTTGGATGTTACATTTAACAATCAAAATACTGAAACGTTCAACAGATTAAACCGTTTAACAGATTAAACCGTTTAACAGATTAAAGATTTCTTCATATTTAAATCTAGTTCATGCAGCAGTTTGGTTTTTAGCTCCTTTTTAAAACCAGGTTCAGCTTTGAGTCCTAAACTGTGAATCTCTTCCTCAGGTTTAAATTTTTATTTTTTAAATTAAGCCTTAATTGACATTAAAATTCATAAAATGTGATTATCATGACATTTAAAATGTTTTATTAAAAAACAAAAAACGTTTCTAAAAACAATTTCGTCAGATAAATCAGAAGTAACTGGTTCCTGAAGCAGTTCCACTGGATCTGAGTGGAACTGCTTCCGGTTTATCCTAAAGCATATATATATATATAAATAAATTTGAAAGTCATAAGTACTTATTGATGGCATTAAAATTATTTCTAAGACCAGTAAAAGCATAAAATTAGAGTTGTCATTCCAGTCGAGGAGCCGAGCTGATCGTAGATCCGTCTGTCATCCTCAGTGTGACTTCCTGAACGCCGAGGAGAAAAACCCGACTTTCTCCTCCAGCTCGCTGCGGCTAGCAGCAGGCGACCTGCACCAGCAGATGACGACCTTCGGCCATCTTTACGAGGCGGATCTCGGGGTTTACTGCGGCCGAGATCTGCCCAGTTTCAGCTCAGAGTCGGACATCTTCCAGAGGGTTCACCAGAAGCTGATGGTCTGCAACACGGTACTCCCTGCTTTTTAAATCTGCTTAAAATGATTAAACCCAGAAATTATTCCAAACTGCTTCCAGCATTTGTTAGTTCTGACCCAAAAGCACAGAAAGCCTGACTTTTAAACCTGCGTATGATTGGTTAGGAGCTGGAGATGCAGAAGGAAACATCAGCAGCCTCTGAGTCTGTGAGCGAAGAGGTGAAACGTCTACAGACTGAAGCTCGCTACTGGAGCAGAGGACAGAAGCACACGCTGCGTACGTCAACAACTAAACCATCTGCTTCCATCTCCGTCTGTCTGTGGTTCAAATCTCCTCCCCTTTTTCCTCCTCTTCCTCAGCCAACCAGTTGGAGGAAATAACCCGGCGAATCGGGAACATCGCCTCCCAGCTGGACACCCGATGACGTCATCGCTGTTCACCGATGAAACCGCCGAGGGGATGATGATGATGATGATGGCGGCGCTGCTGCAGAAGCTTCCAGAACAGAAGTCAATGGTTGAACTCATTAAGCTAAAGAAGCCTTCATCCACCAGCTGATCGCTCGACCAATCAGGTCGTCACCATAAACTGCTGACTCATCAAACAGCTTTTCTACATACAGAAAGTCATTTCTGCTCCAACAGGATGGAAATGATCCAACATCAGCTCATTTCTGGAAGCATTAATTACTGAACAAAAGAAAAACATCAAGACTTTCACCAAACCTTAGATCCTAAAGATTAAAACAAAGGTTAACTAAACTATGTATTACACTCTGAACTGTAATTTCTATTATTTTTGTGTTTGAAATAAAGAGTATAAATGTGTTTGGATGCATTTAGATTGACGGATGAATGAACTGCAGGATTTCAGATAAGCTGCTGCCAGAAACATTAGAAATGAGGATTTCCTGATCAAATATCTAAGCTGTGACATCATCACGCTGATGAAGATCCTGTCTCTTCATCTGCAGGTTAATCATCAATGGCTCCTGTTATTGATCGGATTCAGTGCTGTAATTAAAGGATCTATGATTGGTGTTCATATCGCCTCATATTTGTGTGGAATGAGGAATCTAAAGGTTTTTAATCGATCGAGAAAGTAAAGTCCTGAACATTGTGGGACTTAAACCAATTTATTCAAACATGTTTGATGTTCAGGGTTTAACAAAAAATATGTTCAAAGTGAAGCAACAATCCTTTAAATCTAGGATAGAAAATGTTCCTCAGCAGTTTGGGCTGCTTTGAATAGTGACCAATAGTGAACAGTGGTGAGCAGGTGTCTGCCTCCTGTCCACTCAGAAGCCTCTGCTGAGCAGCCAGTCCTTCAGCTCCTGCTCATAGTGACCTTTGACCTTCAGGGTCATGGTCACCTCGTTGACCTGAGTGGGCAGCTCCTTCCCCGTCACGCCTTTCAGGTGTTCCCTCACGTCCTTCTCCAGGGCCCAGATGTCCCCCTCCACCTTCCGTAGCAGCGTCATCTTGCGGTTCCCGTGGGTCAGCTCGCTGTAAACTGGGATGTTGTGCATCCGGGAGCGGCGGACCATGTAGGGGAGATGAGGCGGCGATTCAGCCGGGGGGATCCAGCCGGACGGCGCGGCTCCGACGTGTTTAGGCGGATCGGGTATCCGTGTCGGAGGTATGAGCCGCTCCACAAACCGGTATTCCTCCGTGGACTCCACGACGGCCCCCTGTTCGCCCCGGGGAGCGGCGGTGGATGCTGGCCGGAGTCCGGCGGCCGGAGTCCGGCTGGAGAGAAGAGGAGCTCCTGTGAGCGGCCTGGAGGAGGAGGCCAAGTCCCGGAGGACGCAGCCGAACGGCCTGGAGGAGGAGGCGAAGTCCCGGAGGACGCAGCGGAGCGCCATCTTGGACAGGCTGAGATGAAGAACAGCGGAAGTTATTGGCTGCTGGCAGCGAACCAATAAACTGATTACCGCCACCTGCTGGCCTGGAGGGAAGCAACTGCTGTTATCTCTTCGGTATCTTAGGACAATAAATTGGATAATTTTATTATTTATCAATAAACCATCCCGCACTGACTGCTCTCAGCTATAGAGATTTTATTGTCCTTACACTGTTAAAATAAAGAGCAACGAAATAAACTATAAACCTTCCTTTAGCTGACAGAACGATCCACTTAGAGCAGGAATTACACCTAAAATGGAAAATAATATGTAAACATTTTGCATTTAAGATAAACGTTTGTTTAAGGAAACTTTGGCTATTTGATTATTAATCAAAAAAGTAATCTACAGATTAATTGATTTGCAAAATAAAAATTAGTTACAGCCCTACTAGATAGATAGATTATAGCTAATGGGACGAGCACTTAAGGCCGTATGTAAACATCTCACCAGAATGATTGACAGTTAGGAGGACCACTGATTGAGATGATCCACCCAGAAATAAATGATCCTCCTCTTTAAGGTAACATCAGTTGCACTGCTGACTCCAAAGGCCCTGGGCAGATTTGACTTGACACAGAGGCTGAAATCTGATTGGTCAAAAGCAACGCAGCAAATATAAACGCTATAAAATTAAATGAATGGATTGTTTGGAACAAATTAATACATTTAGAACAAAGTAACTTAACATTTAGGTAGTGAATTACAGGTTAGTGTGTCTGACTGATTTTAGGCCAGTAGTGAAGGCGCTGACTGCTCACCAATACTTTGCAGAGGGATAGATGTGATGGGGGATTTATTTCCTTTGTGAAGATCCATTTTAAAGGAGAACAGTTTTTATAAGCTGGCATATTCCAGATTAAATCCCTCAGTATCCACCTGGAATGGCTGATGGGCAGAGGGGATGATGGGATGAGTGGGACTTTTAAGGCTAGGCTTAAAACTTTCCTTTTTTAAAAAGCTTCTAGTTAGAGTGGCTCAGGTTATCCTGA